GTGTGTGGTGTGTGTGTGTGTGTGTGTGTGTGTGTGTGTGTGTGTGTGTGTGTGTGTGTGTGTGTGTCTGTGTGTGCGTTGAGGAGTCAAAGATGAACTGTGTCCTCTCAGGCAGGAGGTGTGATTCTAAATAAAGATTATTCATCCTTTTAAAGAATGATTGACCTTAAGGTTTTTTCATTATTAAATGTGTTTTTCTGCAAGTGTCTGAATAATTTGGGGTTGTTTAATTTACTACCAATAAGCTTATAAACTGAGAGAAACCTCGATGCTCTGCTCACAGATTTGAAACCAAATCAACTTGTCAGCTTGTTTTTCATTTTAGTTTACCAAAATGTGTTTCTGCAAATGGGAGAGAAATAATCCGTGCAGCTGCTGAATCGTTCTTTATTTAAGGATATTTTTCTCTTCAGACACAATTGCAATGGTTTATGGGATGGATAGTTCTCACTCTTAAAAAAATATATGTTTACACTCTTGCACCTTCGCGTTTTTCATAGTATTCTTTGCTCAAAATTAACGTTTTTATGTCACGATGCATCTCAAAGTTGCCTGGCTTCATTCCTTGCTTGAAACTATTTCAGTCAGACAACTCATTCTTTAACATGTTTATTAGAAGCAGCATATAGTTGAGTTTGGCGTCTAGGCTCGGGCCTCATCACTCCACAGATATACATAGCACGATGAGTGATGATTAAATAACTAACCCCTGAGCCTACAGGTGGAAGCTGGGGTGGTGGGGGGGCAGGCAAGCAGCAGCGACGTGGAAGTAACTGCAGCAACAGCAGCAGAGAGATATCTGGCAGGTTAAATAGAGCGGCATATTAAGGACACTCTGTTTGGTTGGTTGTTGAGTGGCAAGGGGCGTTATGTATGAATGCAGCATAAGTGCTCGAGTTGACTGCCTGAACTAGCTCGCAGGCTTCGCCCCATTTTGAACCAAATCAACTTGACAGCTTGTTTTTGGATATCTTTTACTAAAACAGTTCACTAAATTGTGTTTCTGCGAATGATAAGGGTGAGAAATAATCCATGCAGCTGCCGAATCGTACTTCATTTTAGAATATTTTGTTTACGGGATTGGTCGTTCTCTCACTCTTAAAAAACAGATGTTTACACTCTTCCACCTTCACGTTTCCTTCAGTTTCTCATAGTTGTCTTTGCTCAAAATCAACGTTTTTATGTCACGATGCATCTCAAAGTTGCTCGGCTTCATTCCTTGCTTGGTACTATTTTGAAAATGATTCCCTGAAGTTCCCTTCCTGACCCAGAGCTATTTCTAAAAAGTGTGTAGTCACGGTTGAGCTCTTTGCACGCTACCACTTCCCTTTATACCTAATCTACTCCTCTACCTTTCGGTGCCAAGGTGTTCTGCGACAGCTTCTCCGGGATCGAAGGCTTGGCACCGGACGACGAGCCTCAAATGTTCTCGCCAGAAGTCGTGAAGCGATGTGCATCCTCTCTGAGACACAGGTTGCCTCACTTAGCTGCTAATAGGTTTAACCTAATCAGCAGCAGAGGCATTCATTTAGTGATAACAGGCGTCTCATTCCCCCTTTTCTCTCGCCTAATAGAGGGAATTTCGTAGTTTTATTTCAGGCAGTGTCATGAGAATGTAGCCACTTTTCTCCCTGTGTGCCAGAGGCTAATGGATGGACTATATAGAAATGTCTGACCCCTAAATCCTTGAGCCTTATCCCTGCATTGCTTTCACTTTTCGTCCCAAAGGAAACAGCGTGTGATCAGTATTCAGTGCCTTGTTTTCCCATCTTGTCTGAGACTCTTCAATCTTTTCTCGTTAGATTTTAATAGGTTGTATATAGCTCAGGTCAGAGAGGACTTCACACTGACGAATGCAGATTGTTTCCGTGCACTGGATTGGAGTTGTTGAAGTATTGCAGTATTATAGTGTGTAGGACAGATACTCTTCACCTGTGTGGGAAGAGACTCAAGAGTTGAGCTGTGAAAAGAAAAAGGGCATCAGCTAATCCCTGCAGCGCTGTAAAGAGTTATATCTCTCTGCTTTCTGCTCTGATAAAACATGGAGTGCTACTAAAGAAGATACTTCTCACTCTGCAGCAACACATCACACAACACACTGTCTCAGTCACCTTACATTGCTCACACACACTCTCATTTAAAACAGACCTCTGCCAGGACAATTAGGGTCACATTTAATCCATCTAGGTCAATAAATCCCGGTCAAGGTAAAGAGCTGACCGGGCAGGATGACACAGGATGTTCTTTCCCATTCGTTTACTGAGCGAACAATAGGAAAGCATTCGGACTTTTTTTGCAAGAACGAACAGAAGTTTTTAGTTTGCAGATACTTTTCTTTTTCACTGAAAGCAAACATTTATATTCTGAGAGAGAGCGAGGGATTTATAGACTGAAGCCAACAGGTGGAGCCAAAGTCCTTTTATCCTCTCATCACACACACACATTGTACACACACACACACACACACCATACACACACACACACACACACACTCACACACACACACACACAATTGTACACACACACACACTCACACACACACACACACATTGTACACACACACACACACACACACACTCACACACACACACACAGAGACAGTGCAGACATACACACACACACACATGCACACACACACACACACACACACACACACACACACTCACACACACACACCACCACACCACACACACACACACACACCCACACACACACACACACAGAGAGACAGTGTACACACACACATACACACACACACACACACATATATAGAGACAATGTACACATACACACATACACACACACACACACACACACATATAGACAGTGCCACCACACACACACACACACACACACACACCACACACACACACACACACACACACACACACACACCAGACAGACACAGTGTACACACACACACACAGAGAGAGAGACAGTGTACACACACACATACACACACACACACACACACATATAGACAGTGCACACACACACACACACACTCACACACACACATATAGACAGTGCACACACACACACACACACACACACACACACACACACACACACACACACACACACACACACACACACACACACAGACAGACCACAGTGTACACACACACACACAGAGAGAGAGACAGTGTACACACACACATACACACCACACACACACACACACACACACACACACACCTCCCCAATTTCCAAAATAGGTTTCTGACCTACTTTTTCCTCCCTATTTAAATGGCGTCCTCACTTTATAATCCATCCATCAATGTTGCATGCAAGATTTAATGACTCATTTGGTTCCTTCTTTTGTCATTTGTTTCCATTACCGTGCTATCGTCTCCTTTCCATACAAACTAAACGTTGACATGCATTCATTTCCATTATATCCATTCAGCCGTTACTGCATCTTCTCCTTTGTGCTCCAGTCCATCCTCTCAGTACAGAGCTCAATGAAGGCTCTGTGAGCACGTTCTCTCTCAGTGACTGTGCTGTTATGTTAAATGTTTGTTGTTTGTTTTTCATGTATTGTGTCTCTTGATATTTGTCTGTTGATGTTGTTGTAACTTATTTTATTCAAGGCAGTACAAATATTTGTTTATTTGCTTCTTGACAGAAGTTAAGGGTATAATGTTTCACAGGAAATGCTTTATTTTGAAGTGCAAGTATGTGTCCTGCTCTTACACCTTCCTGTTATGATTTTGAAATGAATACGAGTGCATTTTCTCCGTCTTCCACCGTTCTTGTTGGAAACTGTTAAATTGATATAATCTTAAAGTGGACCTATCATGCTATATTTGAATAATATAGTATCGGACCATACCTATATAAGGCATATTTATACTTTTTTTTTCTTCAAAATACCAAACAGATCATGCATTTTAGCCATGCCTCATTTCGCTCAATTTGAAAAATGTTAGCTCTGTTTTAGCAAGGGTTGATTCTGTGAGAACAGCACCATCTACAGGCCTGGCATATGTACTACAGCGTCTCCAGCGCTTTCGAACGGCAATGGCCGTGGCTGTCTCCTCCTGATTGGTGGAGTTGGCCCAATAGCCGTAGCGCCACCGTCCTGACGTCAGGACAGTGTTCAAATCTGGATCAGTTTTTATCAGATCCGTTGCAGCCCCTTTTTTAGAGATTTGGGTATGGAGGAAAATAGAGAGGGTTGTGTTTTCTGACACTTGGTGAGTTCCCTGGAACACCGGGGACACATATTCATGTATAACAGACGTACAAAAGTGCATTTTGCATGATACTGTAGGTCCCCTTTAAGTATGGAAGAAGCTGCTTTCTCCCTGTTATATTTGGTTAAGCCAGACAACAGGCTTTGGGATAAGATAAGGGCTTTCCTGGACTCAAACCATCTCGGCTGCCAACAATAAATATAATAATATTAATTAATAATATTAATAAATAAAGAGAAATAAGCTCTGAAGAAACTAAAAATAACGGTAATAATAATGAATGAAGTGAAATTAAATGGGAAATGGATGAATAGGTGAATTAATCATAAAAGGAAGAGATGTGTGTGTGTATATGTACATATGTGTGCATATATATATATATATATGTATCTATTTATTTACCTATTAAACAATGCCTATATTATGAAGCAAACCATGTATAAATACAACGCCATATGCATCAAATGTAACTGACACTGTAATCCCCCTACCCCCCACCCTTCACGTTATGTCCTGTCCTACTTGTAATGTATGTGAGCCATGTCCTTGTCCGTGTGTTTTTGTCTTTTGAAAATGTTCAATAAAATATAAATGTTTAAAAAAAAAATGGATATATTGAAACACATTAAGTTTGGACTCGCTTTGTTCTTCATTCAAAGCTTCTATTACACAACAGATGTTACACATGGAGCTGCTGGGATGCAAGTCACATTTCAGACTTGATCTGACCAATAAAGTATTATCGTATCGTATCGTAAGTTCCTGTTGTCTTTTCTAACATGTTATTCTTCTCTTTTCCAGATTCTGGCCATCATCTCGATCCTCTTCATCATCCTCTCCACCATCGCTCTCTCTCTCAACACTTTACCGGATTTGCAGGTGATGGATGAGTTTGGTCAGGCGAGCGATAACCCTCAGCTGGCTCACGTGGAGGCGGTGTGCATCGCTTGGTTCACCATGGAGTATCTCCTCCGTTTCCTCTCCTCTCCCAACAAGTGGAAGTTCTTCAAAGGCCCGCTGAACGTCATCGACCTGCTGGCCATCTTGCCGTACTACGTCACCCTCTTCCTGACGGAGTCCAACAAGAGCGTGCTGCAGTTTCAGAACGTGCGCCGCGTGGTGCAGATTTTCAGGATCATGAGAATATTGAGGATCCTGAAGCTGGCCAGGCACTCCACGGGCCTCCAGTCTCTGGGCTTCACCTTGAAAAGGTATATATTTCATTTGTATGTGTTCCGTTCATGGTATGCACAACTTAACGCAAGGCAAGGCAAGTTTATTTAAACAGCACCTTTCAACACAAGGCGATTCAAAGTGCTTTACACAAATGAAAGACATTAAGAAACATATTATGAAATGACATTTAAAAACACTCATTTAAAAGCAAAGATAATAAAACATGAATCAAAGTGACAGCAGTGTGAGATACACACATCTGAAATGTTTAGCTCAATCATTGCTCACTTTTTAGCAGCAATAGTTTTCTTTGACCTCACTTTCTTTCTACTTTCTTTTTTAACGTATCCTTTAGTTATTTCAAGTGTTTCGTGCTAAACGATCCCCCCTTTGGAACATGTTAATCTGACCCCATGGTACCTTTAAGTTTCCGCCGAAACTATTCCTCTTTTTTAAATGCACATTAGTTTAAGTTGTCTTTTCTATGTATAACTATTATTTACAAAACATGTCTCTATAAACACACCGTACCCGAAAAGGGTTGCTCTTTTTACTGCACTGTTAGTATACTACTATGATTATGCACCGTACCCGAAAAGCAGCAGGGAGAAGAAAATAATCTGATATTACCCCTTTCTCCCAAAAAACTATATATATATATATATACTATATAAATACCATTACCATCATTACAAAACACTCGCTGCTATATAACATGTGCATTATTATTATTATTATTATTAATAATGTTCGATAAATAACGTGCAATTACGTAACTACCACTACGGTTTTTTTGCACTACTAAATACTGTTAATATTTACATTCATTATGAGACCATCTATGTTTCCTGTAGTTATTTCATTTTTTCACTGCACTGTTAGTGTACTACTATTATTATGCTGCTTTGATTATTGTATTTTTGTAATTCTGGCACAACAATGAATAAAGTCTTATTTCTTAACTGCATTATTTTTTATATTTTTCTAGTTCTCTACCTGTGTTTTTCATTCTTGTGTTACTGTATGCACCACGACACCAAGTCAAATTCCTCGTACGTGTAAACCTGATTCTGATTCTCATCTTATCTTCAGGAGCTACAACGAACTGGGTCTGCTCATCTTGTTTCTCGCCATGGGCATCATGATATTCTCCAGCTTGGTGTTCTTCGCTGAGAAGGATGAAGACGCCACGAAGTTCACCAGCATCCCCGCGTCGTTCTGGTGGGCGACCATCACGATGACCACGGTGGGATACGGGGACATTTACCCACAGACGTTACTCGGTAAAATAGTCGGAGGGCTTTGCTGCATTGCAGGAGTCCTGGTGATCGCTCTGCCCATCCCCATCATTGTGAACAACTTCTCTGAGTTCTACAAGGAGCAGAAGAGGCAGGAGAAGGCCATAAAGAGGAGGGAGGCGCTGGAGAGAGCCAAGAGGAACGGCAGCATCGTGTCAATGAACCTAAAAGATGCCTTTGCGCGCAGCATGGAGCTGATGGACGTGGTGGTGGAGAAAGGAGAGGACAAAACCTCCCTGGAGAACCACATGTCGCCCGAACGCTGGGGCAGCACCACCAGGCACGCCTCCTCCGAGTCAGACCTGAAATCTCCAGCGAACCAAAACCCAGAGATGCAGAATTCGCCTCAACACATCACCGTCAACACCACAGGGAGTCCGCAGAGGATTAACCGCACCCCGCAGCACCTGAATGTGCAGAAACTGGAGGAGATGTACAACCAGATGGGCAAATCCCAGTCTCTGAGCAACCTCAACAGCTCCATGAGCACTTTGAGCACGACGGCGCCCGTGTCCCCGAGGAAACCTCAAAGCCCCGACGCTACTTTAAAAGAGGAAGTAGAGCTGGAGATGACGGAGGTGCAGCCCTGCTCGTCCGACAGAAAAGACTCTAATTACAAAAAGGAAGATACTGGGCCGTGTCGACTCAGGCACCCGAGGGCACCACCGTATCTGGATCTCAGCAAATTAAGGTCCATGGATGAGGGCGTCAAACTCAAAGATGGCCTCTACGAATCCGCAGGTGACGGGTCAGAGCTTCTAAAGGAGGAGAGCTTTAAAAACAGCGCTTTGGAGTCTGCTTCGAGGGGGAATAACCCTCTCAAAATAAAAGGTTTGAACGCCAACTTCCCCAAATCGCCCGCTGAAGGTCCGTTGACTCCGCCCAGCACTACGTCTCCTGGAGACATTAGCTCCAGCATTTTGGAGGACGAGACCCCGGACGGAGAGACGTCTCCTCTCATCCCCAGCACCGAAGAACTGCTTCCCATTTCAGAGGAGGAAACATGTCCTCTGACGCCCAAAAGGCTGGTGGTAGACACTCCACCGGGTGATGAAGATCAATCCACGGAAAACCACGAGGAAAAGCATCTGATGGAGGTTGCAGGCGCTTCAGTTTCACCTTTGTCGCCCAATTCAGCACAAAATTGCGCCCAAGGAGAGGAAGTGAAGGCTGAAAGCAACCAGAATGGACACAAAGTAGAGAACCACATGTTTACATCCGATATCCACCTGATACCGGGGGATGGCAGTCTGTCTCCGAGCTGCGAAACCAGCATGTGACTGTAGAGAAAGCTTCCCATTGGACAAAAAGACCCACTGCAACCTCAGCCCGGCAGACAGGAGAAAAGACACGGGTGCAGTCGTAGTGAAAGATATTTTTGCATGGCATGACAAGTCCCTTTTACTTGTGTCGTTGTGTATTGCTGAAAAAGAAAACTGCAGTGCTGCGTGCAGAATTTGGAAGACTTTTTGGGGCTTGAAGAGGAGGCTCTGGAGGGAATTCATCAACTTAAATGTAGACACTTTTCTCCTCCCGATGTACATAATGACCGTCTCCTTTTTCTAGCAAAAGAAGGAAATGCACAGAGGGACTTATCTGTAAAAAGCATGCATTTAAAAAAAAGACATATATTTTACGGTGCTTAGTTTGCTGAAAGCGCTCCACTGTAAATACTGGGACATCTAAAGGCAATGACAATGCACAGGATGGAAGAAATGTCTCCGAAGGTACAAATGTGAAAAGGGAGAAGAGGAAATTGAAAGCCCTCAGACCGGGTGTTGCATCGTAGCGACCTATTTAAAAAAAAAAAACATATCATTACCTTTTGTGGAAATGCAAAGTGTTCCCATGATGACCCTGTAATGTTTTCTCGTGTGATTAATGCTGTATGAAACTGTAACATTATTGCTTTTGGTTTTCATAACGACTGTTCAGTTGATATTCAGTCAACAATGGACCCTCCCCAAAAAACACCTGTAGTCGCCAAATATCTAGATATTTACTCGGTGGTTTCAGAAGTTACGACGAGGTTTGAGACCTTGTTCATGCCTTTTGATTCCATTAACAGTAAATCGTATTATACTCTCAGATATACATCTAAAAGTAGCTCTAAGAATAAACGTAGGTCTAGGTTGGTTGTAGAGATAAATCTGTGAGTGAGATTCAATAAAACCGAGTTATTTATTCAGCACAGTAGATCTGGTCATTACTACACAGATATGCTTTACACTATAATGATCTTTTTGGCAAAAGGGATAGACGAACACAGAAAAAAGACGATATTCCTTCTGATACTACGGACCAAATCAAGCACAGCTTCATCTATCTCAGCTGCATAGGAACATATAACATGTATTATGACGGTAGTTATGTTTTAGTTTGACTTCTTTATGGTTTCTTTTCCATTGTGTCCCCGTCCATGCAAGTTTCTCCCATCCTGCTGATAATTGAAGGCATTTTTTTTTTTGTATATCCGTCGTGTCTTGGATTGTATTTATTGTGTTTTATTGTGAACAAATCTATTTTCAGTCAAACTGAAACCCAAAGGAGTTTAATTTATCTCTTTCTCTCGTCTTCTTTCTGGCTTTTGTTTTACACTGACTGAAAATATCCGTTGTCTGTTGCCTTTTTTTTTTTTATTCCTATCGCTGGAATACTTTGTGTTTCAGCGTGACACTTTGAGTACTAGTAGTGTGTTTGTGAACGCCACACAAACCCGGACAGGAAGTACGTGGGTGATTTATTCGTTGTTTGTTTTCTTATTATTATTATTATTCTCATGTTTTCTGTTCTCACAGAGAGAGGTGTGGAATGTGCAATACCGCAAACTGCAATCTATGCAGGCCAAGAAATGTGGCACTTTATTTTCTGTCTACGGGATTTGTAAGTGTACAGGCAGAAAATTACTTGTATTTTTCAAATGTTGTATCTTTAATATGAGGCAAAACAGAATCTCACGATGCAATTTGACTTTTTTTGATATGTCTGGCATAATGCTTTAATGCCAGATATTAATGGACCTTAAATTTATCTGTGGGAAATCCAAATTGACCACTTTGGGCCTTTTATATCGCTGTTAGATTTACATTAAGATCTAAGATATTAAAGATAATCTTATTTCAATGGCCACACAAAATGGATTTTATGTTTTTTGTGAATTAACGTTGAGAGTGATTCTATTTTTTCTAAACCAAAATGGAGCACGACCACAATTTCCTGCCATATGGTGGTTGAAATGATGCGTGCCTTTTCATAACACCGCTTGTTTATGAGAAGGTAGCAAGTCATTTTGCTTTGTTCATATAGCACTGTACAGAAAATTCTAATTTTATAGGAGAAATCAGGTCTTTATGTAATAGATACAAGTATTGAGTTCTCAGGTTTTCTATAACTCTCTGATGTTCCAATTGGATCGATTCTCTGTTTTTTCTTTCACAGCTAATGTCAAATACTTCTGTACTTTCTTTTGAAAAGGTGATGTTGTCAAATCCACATTGATGTCTTGGCTCCCGGGGGGAAAAGGAGCGGCAATATTTTCTCCCTCCTCCTGGGTAATCTGTGCAAAACCATCCAGCGTCCGCCCGTCAGTGTGCAGGAAGGAGAGCTTTCACTGACCACAGACAGACAGGAAGAGATCACTAAACTGATTATTTCCCATGCTGTGATCAATGGTTGGAGGGAAGGTGAGGATAAGGGAAAGCGAGGAGAGTTTAACGTCAATATTTTTCAACCTGGAGTCTTTTTCTCCGTGTTTTTGACCCTAAATCACATTGTGAACGGTCTATGAAACAGGCTGCAGTGTAATCCGATGGGCAATTCTACAAATTCTTCTTTAAGTATAACTTGATTGCTGCCTGTGTATCTTTTTATTAAGTTGAGTATTTCTGCACTACTGTTACTTGAGTGCAAGATCTGGAAACTTATTTCTCAATTGTCCGAGTTGAGATGTGAAAACAAAGCACTGAATTCTTCCTTTTTTCAGTTTCATGAACAGTGAGTTTTAGGCTTTGTTGAGACTGTACAAATGTCGTTTTTGCCTCTGACTGAGACTCAGATTGTTATTACTGATGTCGGACCCTAAAGAGGAATTAAATGTTGTTTCTACAAGGTGTCGTTTAGGGAGAAATCTCGTTATGAAATCTCGCTTTGCATCCACACTGCTGGTATTGGCTAAATATCCAGCCAATATCTTTTACATAACACTTTCTGTACTGCAACGACACAGGTACTCTTCTTGCTAACTCATGTTAAAACCATTGTCTTCCAACAAAAAGCCACAATAACAACGAGAACATATCAAGCAAAACGTGGAGATTTCTCTGTAGGATCATTTCTATAATGTCCAGACACGTATGATAACAATCTACAACGGTCAGTGGCATAAACAAACATTATCAGCGTGGAATTGCCTCGTATAATTACATTAAAGCCCATTTAACTAGATATGGTGTCCCTATTAGACACTTAGGGTTAGGGTAACAAATGAGAGTCCAGGTTGAAAGACAAAGACCCTTAAAGAGGAGGAATGAAATCAGTTTGGGTCCATATTTCCTTTTTGTCTGTGTGCATGCTGTACGCCCAAATCAATAATCAAAGATCCACACCCTCATCCACTTATCTTTGGAAAACAGATTCTTTGTTTTGGTTCAAATGCGAGGTCAGCGGTGGTCGGCATTGTTTGGGTTTTTTCAATTTTCTTTAGGTTCGGTGATAACCTTTTCATAATTTATTTTCTGTACGTTAAGTTTTACCTCTCATCCCTTATTTGTTGTTATCATGTGTCCTCGAGTAGTCCTTCATTTTGACAGGTTTAGGGTAGAGAAAACAAAGGATGTGGACGGATCAGCCATATTTCCTTGGGATGATGTCTCAAAGAAACCGTGCAGAGTGAGAAAAAGGTTTATTTTCTCTGAGAGAACGGGTATTGTCCGTGTCACTCATGCGTGCTTTCCAAAACTCCCTGAAATGCGTGATCCTCCATCGTTTATTCTTACGTCTATTCTGTGTATTCTGCCTCTTAACACTCGTTGATTTCAGCTTTTGGAGAGCGTTCTCATTCTGAGCTGCAGACTGTTTCTTTAAGAAGCAACATCTTTGTATGCATGTAGTAGTCCGAACACTATGTGACCACAGAACACTTTGTCATGGTACATGTATGTCAACATTTCTGTAGAGCATTGTTCCCCATTACGTCTATTAGCATATGCAGAATAACAAATAAATGTGTATATAACTCAAGCCTTTGTGTGTTTTCTGCTGCACAAATGAGCTGCTGTTCATAGGTCACATCTGCATTTTCTGGATGCATTATTACGCTTAAGGATCATTGGATTAAGAGCATTGTATTTAATTGTGTGATAAATAAATGAACAGTGAACATAGAGGACAAACTCTAAATATACACATTCTTATAAATACAAAAATGTGTTAAAGTGACTTACTTAAGATGAGCATTATATAACATTACTTTAGCTTTCTGTGTCTTTCTTATAAACATTTTTGCACATTCTGAATTTAACGTCTGGTGTTTCTATACATAGTTTTTATTTATTTTTATTTATTCAATTTCCCCCAGGATACATATATGCAAATTAGGATTCATTGGTCCAAACACAAAAAAGGAGTTATTGTTATTGTTGTTATTGTTTTAACTGCACCTAGGCCATTAAACCTAACCAAAAAATAATCGTAGTGTACAATAAGTAGCTTATTTTAAGTAAGTGTACCATGCATGCTTTTCTGAGTTTCCTGTTTGAATTACACACGTTGTAAGTGTCAGCTAAATAACACCGTACAAAAATGTCCATTCCATTTTCTTAAAGTCCAAAACCCACAGATATATTCAATTTAATATGATGTAAAAACTAAGGAATTCTTCATATTTTACATTCTGTTCTTATTCTATTTACATGTGTATAGACTCCTGCATTTACTTGCAATATTCTCTGCAACATTTAGCTTATTGTATTCATTTTTTTCTGACATATATATATAGTTTTACTTCATCTGCATTCCTTGCACATTGGTCTGCAACCTATTTTATTCTACTCTGTGTCTTTGTGCTCTATTTATATTGTATTTTAAAATGATTTGTATTGTTTTATCTCCTATTAAGTTGCATTGTTGGAGGAGCCTGGGACTTATTGAGCATATGACAACAAAGCCTTTGAATCTATTTGAAGGACTTTTGTGTAAAAAAATTAATGTAGTTGCAGTTCCTCCTCCGGGCCACAAGGGCGGCGCTGCGTGCTGTGACGCGCTTAAAAACAGCGCGGAAATCAAACCGTTTCCAGAGAGGAAGGAGAAATGAAACATAACAAACATGGCTGCTGAAAACCACAACAGAGCATTGAGTGAGTTTTCCCGAGTTCGAGCTGTCACTACGGGATGGATTGTGGACTTTATGTTCCTCAGTCTGTGTCGGAGATTCAAGGAGGGGAAGTTTGAAGAGTTCAACGAGATCATTCAGACTTTAGAGGGTGAGTTTTCCACCGATAACAACACTAACGGTAGCTAGCTTAGCTTACATTCAACCACAGTCAAGTTTACAAACAGACATAGATTATTAGCTGCTATAACCTTCTTATTATACATCCATGGCTATAACATATAAATAAACGCTTTATTATGTATACTATATGTAAAGATATCCAGCAGAAGTATACAAGTTTTTTAAGTTAGCTCCCCGTGTGGTTGGTCAAAATACTTTGGTCCTAAAGTACTCGACTACAAGTAAAAGTCCCGATTTTTATGTTAAAATGACAATAACATCAGTGTATTTTAAGAGTTAATTTACAGTATTAATGTGTACATTCAAGCCGCAACACACGAAGCTGAAGTTGGCTTTAGACTGGTAGTTAAGGGGAAAGTTAAGGGTTACTTAAATACTTTAAAATGTCTGCTCTTATCCTTAATAGATTCTTGACATTTTTTATATGTGAAATTAAGAAAAAAGGACATTTCATTGCCTCATTTCAAGTTAGGCAATGGTGGAAACAAAGTACTCTAGTCATGTTTGATGAAAGGTACCAAACTGGCATCAACATATACAAAAAAGTAAAAGTACTCTTGGCCCTTTTCAGATTTAATTTAATCATAATAGTGGGTGATAATTAAAGATAGAGGAATGCATGTCATGGTGCAGTTGTTGAAGTGGATTGTAAGTACATTTAGTGGAGAAACAATACTTATTTGGCAGTTAGATGTGCTAGAGAAGGCATAAATGAAACTACTCAAACACAGTACAAGTACCTGGCGTTGTTGCTGACAACAATTTTGTGTATTTCTGTTTTTCCAGCCATCACTGAGTGTCCGGCGAAGGAGCTCCATGAGGATAAAACGATGATCTGTGCCTTCCTCGCAAGAGTCATGCACGGCAAACAGTTAGGTAAGGAGTCGCAGTCAGAAAAGTAGACATCACTCTTGCACATATTTCTACACATGCATATGTTATTGTTTTGCATAAATACATTGTTAGAGAACTGTGTCATTCACATGCATGCATATTAGGGATGGGAATTTGAAAGCAAATGTATATTCGAATATTCGACCCCCAAAAAAAACGGTGAACCGAAATGTACATATCCTACAATAAAAATTAAAATGTGGGAAACATTTTTACAAAAATAAAATAATAATAATTTAATTTTGAAAAATAAATAAATACATGTTCAAGTAAGTATAGAAACCAAGTCGAATTTGTCAAATGTATTGAACTGGTGATCACAGTTTGAACAGTTGACAGCTATAGGCCTACAGCTTTCATGCTTAAAACATAACTTGGTTTTTAAATGAAAGAGGGATCATACACGCACAACATAACGGGTTAGGGTAACGTAACCCTATCACAACAGAGATCACCAACCTGTAACAGGGCCTATGCACAGACTGCAGCTATTCAATACTCATTCTTGTTTAAGAATATTAGCATGTCTACTCAGGGGAGAGGCGGGTGCGGAGGCGATTCACACTCAGGCCAGCTGTAGAGAAGACCCTCTCAGCTGGAATGTGGGCATAAGATGAGGTTTGAGTCTGCGTGATCTGCGTGTAGGGAGGGGCAGCAGCCATATCATTAGCTAGAACTAGATCTGATGGATTTGGACATAAACGCGAGTGAAGTATAACCGGACGCGAGAGAGAGAGAGATCAGCACCTGCAGCTCTGCCCGCTGTGAGGGACCGGTGAGCGGAGCAAAACACACCTTTAGACCTAACACACTTAGCTATGGCACTGTCGTATACATTGAATTATTCCATTTGATCATATGTAATCAACTTAGGCTCCACTCCAAAAAAAAAAAAAATAATAATTACAATAAAGATATTCATAACTCATATTCGAATACCTGAATAATTTTGAATATTCTATTAATCGTTCCCATCCCTAATGCATATATGCAAATACATGCTTAAAACTAAGCCTCTTTTGACCGGTTTCTACTTTTTACAGATCACATTTCTGACATGCTACTAAAACACTGATTTGGGATCTGTTTACACTTTATGGCTGAGGATGTGAAATTGGTAGCAGCTCAGATAAAAATCCTGTAAAATGCAGAGATATGAGAGACATGCCATCACTGTTTTGATTTGCTTAAACAATGAGAAACCAGAAAGGTGACTTAAAGCTACAATTCCTGGTTTTAAGTGGTATGGTATGCTTCTTTTCTCTTCATACACACCTAAGCTAACCTCCTGTCTTCACCGTGTAATTCCCTGCTTCTCTCCAGATGTCCAGTTTGAAGACAATGAGGACATGTTGCCTCTGATGTCTGCGGCCAAAATCTGGTCTGCTATCAAGCACACAGTGGCAGACCAACGTTTGTTCAGGGACATCCTGGAGCTTTTGTTTGTCCAGGTAATCACACAAGGATCTAAAGAGGGGTGAAGGATCTCCAGATGTGTTTTTAAATGTTATTTAAAGGGGACCTATCATGCAAAATGCACTTTTGTACGTCTTGTATACATGAATATGTGTCCCCGGTGTTCCAGGGAACTCACCAAGTGTCAGAAAACACAACCCTCTCTATTTTCCTCCATACCCAAATCTCTAAAAAAGGGGCTGCAACGGATCTGATCAAAACTGATCCAGATTTGAACACTGTCCTGACGTCAGGACGGTGGCGCTACGGCTATTGGGCCAACTCCACCAATCAGGAGGAGACAGCCACGGACATTGCCGTTCGAAAGCGCTGGAGACGCTGTAGTACATATGCCAGGCCTGTAGATGGTGCTGTTCTCACTGAATCAGCCCTTGCTAAAACAGAGATAGAAATTGTCAAATTGAGCGAAATGAGGCATGGCTAAAATGCATGATCTGTTTGGTATTTTGAAGGGAAAAAAAGTATAAATATGCCTTATATAGGTATGGTCCTACACTATATTATTCAAATATAGCATGATAGGTCCACTTTAAGTACTTCTGGAGATGCTGAGCTATAAGGAATAAGCATGGTTCTGATGTCACTTGTTCTTATTTCTGATGTGTTTCTTCCCAGTCTGTCACCGTGTGCTTGATATCAGACCAGACATCTCATGCCTGCTTGGCCCTCAAGTGGTTTGAGAAGAACTATACATTACCACAGGTCTGTGTTCCCATTACTCTCTTTTCTTCTCCAGAGCACTCTCTCAAAACTGGAATACTTTAAGGCCTGGAATGGTTGATTTTAATGCTTTACAACGTTACATTTTTCAACAGAACCTGTGTTCCAAGGTGTCGTCGATGGTGACGAAGAAGGACCTTCGCAACCCGCTCCTCAATTCCTACAGCTTCACCCGCCTGCTGGAGACAGTTAAGACTTACCTGGACGCCTACCTGGAGAAAAACCCCTCCGACTACCTTGTCAAGGTGAGCCTAATGTACATACAATGTGTAGAAAAGGACTCAAAAAACTTGTAACTGAAGCTTATTTGGTTGATGGTGTTTCAACAGATCGAGCTTGGTATATTTAGACACTAGAACAATAAGAGAGAATTTATAATATGACCTTTTTAAAGATTAGTTGTGCAGAAAGTCTTACTCTGTTACTTAGACATGACTTTATTCATGATGAGAGCAAACATGTATACACATAACTTCATTTTAACTTGTATACGTTCTTTGATCCCTAAAAGGATTAAAGACTTGTACAATTTAGCTGATTTTAAGATGACAATATCTTCAGTTACACATCATTTAATTGGCATATACATTGTACACAAAGATTAAGACACAACTCGCGATTAGAGACTCTGAAGGCCAGATCCTTACGAGGCGAAAAGGAAAGACGGTGATGATCATAAAAGTTGTAAAGATCTTCTAAAAAGTCCGGAGGCAGTTTCCTGTTTGACTAATACATCATGTATTAGTCAAACATGTCCATTGGAGGTCAAGGTGTAACAAACATAAACCTTTTTTGACCCTGTGTGCAGAGTAATGACCAGCTGAAGGTGCTGATGTGACATTATCACTCATAGTTAATTGACAATTTGTCATCAGAATGAGTTGAGAAGGGCAGAGCGCTCCACAGGGTCTAATAAACACTGATTTACATACCAAGGTTACACTAAGAAGGGTGTTTTAATGACAGGCCTCATTAGTCCTGCTTTCATTAGAGCAACACTTATTGAACCTGGAAGTTAATTACTTTGGAAGAGTATGGAAAGGTAATATTAAGTTACGTGTGTGTGTGTGTGTGTGTGTGTGTGTGTGTGTGTGTGTGTGTGTGTGTGTGTGTGTGTGTGTTAATGTCGGCTTCTTCGTGCATCAGGAAGCCACAAAGATGCTGCAGGCGTCGCCGGGAAGCGAGAAATCAGAGGACGACTTGACGCCAGACGACTTGACGCCAGGCGACTTGACGCCAGGCGACTTGACGCAAGACGACTTGACGCAAGACGACGTGACGCAAGACGACGCGACGCAAGGCGACGCGACGCAAGGCGACGCGACGCAAGGCGACGCGACGCAAGGCGACGCGACGCAAGGCGACGCGACGCAAGGCGACGCGACGCAAGACGACGCGACGCAAGACGACGCGACGCAAGACGACGCGACGCAAGACGAAAACATCCAAACAACAAAGAACAGAAAGTAGGAAACAACCCCGAGTGTATTTACTTCCTTTTCCACGTTATTCCCTTTCTGTTATATGAACTTAAGGACATTTGTGTTTGGTAGATGATTTCTTTCTTGTAACAATGCCTTTGGGCAATAAATGACAATCTTATACCGTTGGAAAGCCTGTTTTCTTACCTTTCCAACGGTACCACATTTGTGAGGAACGAGCATTTGTGGGATGAGCAGCAGAGCTGAGTATGAGGGGTGCGCCCATGAAACATGTGACATTGGAAAGGTAAGAAAACAGGCTATTGCCAAAAAGCATTGTTACAACATAGAAATCATGCATGTCCTTACTTTTTCTGCTTCTCTCGTTGTGTAGAAATGCATCAAGGCTGCGTGGTTTTAAGCACCTTGAGATGACGTTGTTTTAAAGTGTAAATGAAATGTATTTATATGATATGGTTATTAATAATGATCGATGCGTCCACAGAACAAAACGGAGACTTTTGGCCACTAACTTTATGGAGGACTGGGAAATCGATTCGTGCCGGAAGCCTTTTCTCTCCATCAAGAGAATCCCAGAGAACGGTGAGTTTGATTTATCCTCTGCCTTTTTGTCATTTGTATTTAAAACAATAAGTAGCTTGTCTCTAATGTTATTTATAAACGTGTTGAACCTCCCTCGATCAGACGTATCTCAGGTCACATGTCAGAAGTCGATGGAAACCTCCACGATCCTGAAGAAAAGAAAATCCCCTCGGGTACATTTAAAGAATCCCACATCAATACGAAGCTCAAATGCTACCTTTGATTAGCGCAGGATTCCCTGACATATATATAATGTGTTTATATATTTCAGAAATGGACCGATAAGCTGGACCACCACTTGAAGCGTGGAGTCAAGCGTCACGGCGTGGGGAAGTGGGCGCAAATGTTGCTGGATTTAGATTTGAACTTTGAAGGGCGCACCGGCGTGATGCTCAAAGACCGCTGGAGGACTCTGGTGAAGTATCATCCAGACTAAAGAGACCACAACTTGTTACTTTAATTCAATTCAAAAGCACCTCTTTTTTGAGAGGTTAAAACAATAGTTTCTGACCTTAAAAGATCCATGTTTTTTGATTTGCTATTTGATGTTGTGTGTTCCTTTGCTGCTGTGCCTATGCTAACCACCAGAGGGCAGCACAGAGCTACCTTTTCGCCCTCTATGAGGGTTTTTTTTTTTTTTCAAAGATGTTATTGTTTAAGTTAAAAATGTATGGCAGAAATATTGTTCAAAAAAGGAATACAACAGTGGTTTGTTACAATAAAAATCTGCAAAAACAACTTATGAATATGAAGCGCTTAATGTGATTAAAGAGGTGAAATACTGTACAAGCTACAACATGGATGTGAACATGCTTTGATATCAACGTGGAGCACAATTAGTTTTAAAGGATGTTTTGAAGTGTGGTTGTATGAGGTACTTCTCCACAGTCAGTGTACAAACTACAGTCCTTTCTATCTGTAATTGTACCTTGAACTATTGTGTGACTTAAGTGTTTGAATTCACCAAAGTCACACTAACACAACAAAAACATCATATTTTAAGGCAGCGTTGGAGCAGCAACTCCGGTTTTCTTCGAGGTAAAATGACTGTTTTCATCAATGGAGTCTGTCTGGTGGCTTTGATATAAAAATGCACGCTTTTTTAAGGTTTCTACAATATGCTTTCTGCTCCTTCTGTTAACAGCAGTACTTTTCTTAGCTGGAAATCCTGTGTGCTTCTCCAAACTGCATCTACTGTGGGTTTAAAATACAAATATGGAGAAGTCCTTCACACCACCTCACTTCAAACCCTCCCTTGAAGTCTGTTCTGACTGAGAGCCTGCAGGGTTTCAGCCTCTCTGATGAGGGTTTGTTTGGCTGCTGAATGTGTGTTTTATAGGATGTCTGTGGTGCTGTGTGTGGATCAGATGAAGACGAAGCTGTGTTGGGGCAGACAGTCGCACCGCTGGGTTTTCTGGATCTTCTTCCAGGTCCCGCTGCACTGATGGTTCCCGACCGCCTGCCAGTGGAGCAGAACTTCCCTGAAACACACACACAAACATTGGATGGTTACACACTGTCTGCATAAAGTTAGATTACTATATTTAATATGGGATTGATAACATCGAGGTCTGATAAGATCCAGTAACATCTGTCAACTACGGTCCTTGAGGTAGAGGCTGCATTGAGTTATATCCAGTATTTTAAAGGTCCTTTTTACTGGTTTGAGTTCATTTGGGTTTGCGTTAAATGGCAAAACTATGTAAAACAAATGCAAATGCTATCAGGAAATTATTAAAATGACACCGCACAGACTACAACCAACTATGCAGCATGAAATGTTTACTTTACACACACTTACTGGCACTTTTTAGGATTATTAAACTAGTAGAATATTGACAATACAATCTTATAAATACAGAGACATGTTTAAGATTTGCATAGTTTCACACTGTCTTCATGAAGTTGGATTATTATATTTAATATGGGATTGATAACGTCTAATAATATCCGTTAACATCTGCATCAACTACGGTCCTTGAGGTAGAGGCTGCATTTAGTTATATGCGGTATTTTAAAGGTCCTTTTTACTGGTTTGAGTTAATTTGGGTTAAATGGCAAAACTAGAAAGTAAAACAAATGCAGTTGCTATCAGGAAATGAATTACAATGACACAGCACAGACTACAACCAACTATAGAGCAACACATGTTTACTTTACACACACTTACTGGCACTTTTTAGGGTTAGAATATTGTCAATACAATCTTTTAAAAAGGATAGTTATTGTACATTTGGCAGCACTTTCCAATATGTGTCCAATATATGTTTACACTGGAATTATAATTCATGTTTTAAATAGTCTGATTTATACTTTTGCACAAAATTGCACATAAATCTTAATTTTGAATCCTGCCGACCAATCCAAAACTCTTCTAGAAATAGTGGGGGCTTTTTGGGGGTGGGGAGTTTATTTAAATAGGGATGATGTGGGCTATAGTTTTCTTAAATTTAGGAGAGTATAATATTAGTTTCAGAGTTTTTTTATTTTTTTATAGCTAGGTTAAAAAAAAATGCTTCCATATAAACGTATTGCAGGCAGCCTAGTTTTTAAAGAAGGGGAGAAAGACTATCAGCTGAGGTTGCAATATCAGACGTGCAAATGTGATATCTAAACACACACACACACACACACATACCATGAATACATCACTTCAGGGGACATTACATTGACTTACATGCATATCCTCGAGACTTATCCTAACCTTAACCATAACCAACACATGCCTAACCCTAACCCTAACCAAGTCTTCACCCTAAAATTAATGATTCCCCTCATGGGCACCTCCATTATGTCCCCATAAGGGGGGTGAGTCCCCACACGTGACTGTGTAAACAGATTTAGGTCCCCACAAGGATGGTAATGCTAGGCCACAGTTACTTGTAGTTTACTTGAGTATTTCCATTTTCTGCTTCTTTCTACTCCACTACAGTTCAGAGATAAATGGTGTTCTTTTACTCCAGTACATGTATTTAATACCTGCTGGATGTGCCACACACACACACACACACACACACACACACACACACACACACACACACACACACACAGGTTCATAACTCCATACTTGTCGTCCTGCAGGCCGTCTCCCTGGCAGCGTCCCGAGTTGTTCTTCATGGCCGGAGGTTCACACGCCACACACACTTTGTACCCCTCTGTGATGTAGCGCATCCAGTGTGTGTGTGGCTGGTTCTGCACCGAGCAGTGGGGGGTCCGGGACTGAAAGGTGAACTCCACACAGAACCTGAGGGGGTCACACACACTCATTACTGCAATATCAGGAGCCATTAATCATCTGATTACTCTGTCCTACACATTTGAGATCCTGTTCATTTTTAACTAGCTTTAGTATCTACATGAATGATGATGAAGTGTTCCCCTACATGTTGTTGTTGTTGACATTTCTTCTGCTAATTAAGCTGATTGTTGAAGTGTTAAGCTTTAGGCAGGGCACGTTTATTTATATAGCACCTTTCAACACAAGGCAATTCTAAGTGCACACATTTGAGTTGCCTGTACTCCACTTCATCTCAGACGTAATTTGTTTTTTTACTTTTGCAGATTTTTGTACACAAGCTGAAGGATGAAGTGTTCCCCTACATGTTGTTGTTGTTGACATTTCTCCTGCTTATTAAGATAAATGAACGGTTTACTTCTTATAAGCTCAATAAAGCCTCTTAGATTAGTTGAAAATGCATCGTCACAAAGCTGAGAAACACTTGAAAACATGTGTAGATTAAACTAAATCGCAAATACATGCTGCAGCGATATTACTTAACAAACATGATATAGTGTATATGACTAACAGAAAACATAGAAAGCTGTAATTAAATCTCTTACTTGCAGTGGAGTATTTTCAAAGTGTAGTATTTGAACTCTTTCTCAAGGTAATTATCCTATTACTTCTTCTACCGCTCATAAACGCACACAATAGCAGGACGTTATCAGCCATGAGGAATTTGCTCCATAATGCGGTATAATAAAATGTGAATAAACATATTTCAGCCCATGGCCACCCTGCAGGCTGCACACATTAACTCACATAATGTGATCTGGATCTTTTGTGCTTTTCATGAGAGGGTCCTTATTAAAGTATTCAGTTTCAAAGGGTTGTGGGCGCTTCTCTCAGCTCTGCTTCACTGTTCTGATGCTTTGTGGACAGACATCCAGGTGAGCAAACAGCTACTGCCCACACACACACACACACACAGACACACTCACACACACACACAGACACACTCACACCCACACACACACACACACACAGACACACTCACACACACTCACACTCACACTCACACACTCACACTCACACAGACACACACACTCACACACACACACACACACACACACACACACACACACTCACACACACTCACAGTTATGTTCTGCAAAATGGTTGCACAGGATAATGCTAAAATGAACTTTTCACCTCTTGAATTAAAAAAATATGAGTTTGTTTGCAGAGTGTATGTGTGCAGGATGCTGTGAAACCTACTCACACACACACACACACACACACACACACGTGCACACACACAGAGACACACACACACTCACAGACATGTACACACACTCACACTCACACACACACGTACACACACACACACACGTACACACACACACACACAGACACTCACACAGACTCACACAGACACACACACACACACTCACACAGACACACACACTCACACAGACACACAAACACTCACACATACACACACACACACACACACACAGACACTCACACACACTCACACAGACACACACACGTACACACACTCACACAGACACACACACGCGCACACACACACACACACTTATGTTCTGCAAAATGGTTGCACAGGATAATGCTAGATTGAACTTTTCCCCTCTTGAATTTGAAGAAATATGAGTTTGTGAGTTTAGTTTTTCTCAGAGAGTGTGTGTGTGTGTGTGTGTGTGTGTGTGTGTGTGTGTGTGTGTGTGTGTGTGTGTGTGTGTGTGTGTGTAGGAGGATGTGAAACCTACCCGGGGTCGAGGGGGTTTCCATATTTGTCGTGTTTGGGCCTCCCTTTGCCAAACTCCATGCTGGTGATGAATGCAGGGCCTGATAAGAGACAACAATTCAGTGTTATATAAGGAGGTAAAGCCATTTAAAGGGAAAGGTAACCCCGAAATACAATTATATTTATCTTTTTACCTATTATACTACCTTTAGTTCAACATTTATAGTTTAAATGTTGGTTTTTATTTTATTTTTCAGAGTAATTTGTCAGTTTTTTCTCAATTTCTCACTTTGTTATATATTTATGTTTCTTGTAAACATTACCTTTTATTTTTAAATGTTTTAATTATAACTGTGTTTACCTATGCACCATTATGCACCAAAGCAAATCCCTTATATGTTCAATATATCAGTTGTAGAGATGTTGGCTTAATCTGAAACGTAATGAAACTAAAAATGTATTTTAAAAACGTTTCTCTTTCCAGAAATCACGACCCAGTTACTCAACATTACCCACAAGCGTTGTTGTGAGAGTCTCATGGAGGAACTACTATCTAGAAGCATCTGCTCGTGCAATAAAAGCACTTCAGGTAAAACGAAACACATTGAAATGTTGAGGTAAACTGTCCCTTAAGGCTATGGGAATAATGTGTGTGTGTGTGTGTGTGTGTGTGTGTGTGTGTGTGTGTGTGTGTGTGTGTGTGTGTGTGTGTGTGTGTGTGTGTGTGTGTGTGTGTGTGTGTGTGTGTGTGTGTGTGTGTGTGTGTACCTGCATTGTGTGTGTGTGTGTACCTGTGTTGTGTGTGCGTGTGTGTGTGTGTGTGTGTGTGTGTGTGTGTGTGTACCTGCGTTGTGTGTGTACCTGCGTTGTGTGTGTGTGTACCTGTGTTGTGTGTGTGTGTGTGTGTGATGTGGTGTGTGTGGTGTGTGTAACCTGTCGTTGTGTGCACAGTGTTCTCCCCGCAGGTCTCTGGTACTCCCCAGCAAGCCTCTCTGTTTGCCAATCAGATTAGGACACGCCCCCCCGCTGTTAAACTACGGGCCTGATATCCGATCTCCACGTTTCTGACCCTGAATCCATCACGTGAAGGCATGGCAGGAACTCTGCAAACAGGCCGCTCCAAAAACTCATTCAACTCACTGAGGCAGTCCTGAGCTTGAGACGGTTGACAGGATGCTAGAGGAGAGAGAGATAGAGAGATAGAGAGAGAGAGAGAGAGAGCAGAGTAGATAGATCGAGAGCAGATAGAGAGAGAGAGAGAGAGAGAGAGCGATGAGTAGATAGAGAGAGAGGAAGAGAGAGAGAGAGAGAGAGAGAGAGAGAGAGAGAGAGAGAGAGAGAGAGAGATTAATACATGACATCCTCTGTGCTTTGAAACTCATACATTGGACTGTTCACACTTCTGATTCACAGCTTTCTTGCAGACTTCGCTGTGAAAAGATTCAAGGCTTTTATTGTCATTTGTACAGATGGGATTGGGATGAATAAAGTACTTCTTATCTTATCTCCTCCAACAGTGCAACACAATAATACAGATAAAAATAGATCAGAAATAGTGCAAGAATATATATATATACAAGTAATTGGAATATGATATATTAGATAAATAGTTTTCTTAAGTTGCAAACAGATGAATGTGTATGGATGTTCTTTCAGAAGTGCAGGTGTTAAACAGTTCAGCATGGAGGGATAATTTAGGACCAATGAAGCATGGATTGAGACCTGCAGAGTTACAGCTTCCTGCTCCACTCTGAGTTGTTTGAGAACATGCCAGAGTCCTGTGATTCCTCTCTTCCAGAAATCAAGCTTTGATGCATTAAGCATGCAGATTTAGTCTCCGCCGACCTATGACACATATTATGCACGCTCGGCTCGTTTGACTGGAACTGTAATTGCTAGAAATGATCGACAGACTCACATTCTTCAAATAGTTTGACTAATTCCATTATGTGAGCCAGTGCACTGAAATGAGGTTAGACACAGAGCTGATATTCAGAGAACTGGGGATTGTCTTCATTGTTATGTAGCAGAGATTACACAAGAAAATACGTGTTGACATTGTGCAGAAGTTTGAGCACAATCTGCTGGGATGGGTCAGAAGAGATAAGCAGTTTCTGGACATATCTTTATCTTCTGTCTGATCATTTCCCTTTAAAGGGGACCTATCATGCAAAATGCACTTGTGTACGTCTTTTCTACATGAATATGTGTCCCCGGTGTTCCAGGGAACTCACCAAGTGTCAGAAAACACAACCCTCTCTATTTTCCTCCATACCCAAATCTCTAAAAAAAGGGGCTGCAACGGATCTGATAAAAACAGATCCAGATTTGAACACTGTCCTGACGTCAGGACGGTGGCGCTACGGCTATTGGGCCAACTCCACCAATCAGGAGGAGACAGCCACGGCCATTGCCGTTCGAAAGCGCTGGAGACGCTGTAGTACATATGCCAGGCCTGTAGGTGGTGCTGTTCTCACTGAATCTGCCCTTGCTAAAACAGAGCTAGAAATTGTCAAATTGAGCGAAATGAGGCATGGCTAAAATGCATGATCTGTTTGGTATTTTGAAAAAAAAAAAGTATAAATATGCCTTATATAGGTATGGTCCTACACTATATTATTCAAATATAGCATGATAGGTCCACTTTAAGGTAAGGTGAGGTTTATTTATATAGCAAATCTTTTGAGACACAGGCAATTCAAAGTGCTTTACATCAAACATTAACACTTAATAAGAAGACAACAATGGACATAAATGGAATAACAGATTCATAAAAAACATGTATAAGAGATACAGAATAGTTTAAACACAACATTGTAAATACAGAAGGTGCTAAAACAAGTTAAAAGACTTCTGGGTATGCAGCTGTTTTTAGCCTCGACTTAAAACAACTCAGCGTTGGCAAGAAACAATCTCAATCTTTATTTATTTATATAGCACATTTAAAACAACCTCAGTTGACCAAAGTGCTGTACAGGGAGTAAATACAATATAAAATAACACAGTAGGATTACAATAACTAGAAGCATATAAAAACACATACAAATGTCAAAATGTTATGTTTAACTAGTCAGGGTTATCTCCCTCTGGTATCATGTTGATCACCTGCAGAGATGGCAACAGTACACACATCCTTTACTCAAGTAGAAGTACAGATACTCGTGTTTAAAAATACTCTGGTAAAAGTAGAAGTACTGACTAAACTTCTTTACTCAAGTCAAAGTAAAGAGGCTTTGAAATGTACTTCAGTAAAAAGTACCCATAACTAGCAGCTGTTTTAAAGAGTACCTGACCTCCCTTTATATTAATAGAACAATAATGTCATTGTTAGCTAATGAATGTTTCCATGCTGAACAACGGCAACATGACAACGTTTTCATTGGTCCCTCTTCTTTAGAGAAGACCAGGAAATGATGGATACACGGATCGTGTTCAAATCAATAGGCACGCAATGACTCTAAATAATAATGATCACGCCACCAAACACACATTCAAACTAAAGGAACCAGCCTGTTTGGGAAATGTGAGAAGTAGAAAGTACAGGTATTTGGGTTCAACATGTGAGAAGTAGAAAGTACAGGTATTTGTGTTCAACATGTAAGAAGTAGAAAGTACAGGTATTTGGGTTCAACATGTAAGAAGTAGAAAGTACAGGTATTTGTGTTCAACATGTGAGAAGTAGAAAGTACAGGTATTTGTGTTCAACATGTAAGAAGTAGAAAGTACAGGTATTTGTGTTCAACATGTAAGAAGTAGAAAGTACAGGTATTTGTGTTCAACATGTAAGAAGTAGAAAGTACAGGTATTTGTGTTCAACATGTAAGAAGTAGAAAGTACAGGTATTTGTGTTCAACATGTAAGAAGTAGAAAGTACAGGTATTTGTGTTCAACATGTAGGAAGTAGAAAGTACAGGTATTTGTGTTCAACATGTAAGAAGTAGAAAGTACAGGTATTAGTGTTCAACATGTAAGAAGTAGAAAGTACAGGTATTTGTGTTCAACATGTAAGAAGTAGAAAGTACAGGTATTTGTGTTCAACATGTATGAAGTAGAAAGTACAGGTATTTGTGTTCAACATGTAAGAAGTAGAAAGTACAGGTATTTGTGTTCAACATGTAAGAAGTAGAAAGTACAGGTATTAGTGTTCAACATGTAAGAAGTAGAAAGTACAGGTATTTGTGTTCAACATGTAAGAAGTAGAAAGTACAGGTATTTGTGTTCAACATGTATGAAGTAGAAAGTACAGGTATTTGTGTTCAACATGTAAGAAGTGGAAAGTACAGGTATTTGGGTTCAACATGTAAGAAGTAGAAAGTACAGGTATTTGTGTTCAACATGTAAGAAGTCAAAGTAATAAGTCGTCAGAAAAATAAGTAGTGGAGTAAAGTACTGATACCAGAAGAATGTACTTAAGTACAGTACCGAAGTATTTGTACTCTTCTACTTCCCACCTCTGGTAGAAGGTGTGTGCAAAAAATACAAATGTCACAATGTTATGTTCAACTAGTATTGCAAGAATCAGGGTTATCTCACACCTCAGGTTATCTCCCTCTGGTAACGTGTTGTTAAGGTGTGTGTGTGTGTGTGTGTGTGTGTGTGTGTGTGTGTGTGTGTGTGTGTGTGTGTGTGTGTGTGTGTGTGTGTGTGTGTGTGTGTGTGTGTGTGTGTGTGTGTGTGTGTGTGTGTGTGTGTGTGTGTCAGTGTGTGTCAGAAAGTGTCAGAAAGCAAACACGTGTGATTCATACACACTCTCTGAAACGTAACAATAGCTGTGATATAATTCACAAAAGGGCAGCAGAATATATGAACTGTCAAATTGATATTGCCACACAGGAGCAGGCATTGTGAAGTATTCCTCTCTTCAGGTAAAATAGCAGACTCTCCTGAACTCTCACCTGGGCACTCGGTGAAGTAATCGAAGCAGCAGTCCCGGGTCTTATCGCAGCTTTTATCGCAGAAACAAGTCCCGTACACCCGGTCCATCCTCCAGTCGGTGGTCACGCAGCTCAGGTCTCTTCCTCTGCAGCATTTCCCCGAACATCCACCGGACACCAGGAGGATGTTCCCCACAGAGGAGACGAGGAGAAGCAGAACACTAACCCTAAACTCTGCAGAGGACCCCATGCTGAGGGGGGCAACAGAACAACCTCTTTCCCTTCTCTCAGTGTGTGTTCCCTCTCATGACCGTGAGGTGGGAACTCCAGCCCTTGTGACCTGTCTTACAGCTCAGAGAGAGTCCCAGTGAGGAGGGAGGAGACACCAGAGGGAGGGAGGAGAGAGGGAGGAGG